GAATCTTGGGGTTCAGTTTGATGTCTCTCTGAAATTTGATAAACAGATCAACTCAAGTCTTGTTTCTTTCAATTGAGATTACTAGCTAATGTAAAACCGTTTCTGTCACCTAGCAATTTTGAAAAGCTTATTTATGCCTTTATTTCTGTAAGACTGGACTACTGCAATTCTTTGTATGCGGGTGTGAGCCAATTGCTGTTAACTCACTTACAATTAGTGCAGAATGCTGCTGCTAGATTACTGATGAGTGTTCGTAAACACCAGCATATAACACCTGTTTTAGCTACTTTGCATTGGCTTCCAATTCACTACAGGGTCGATTAAAACTGAGTGGTGACCGGGCATTTTCAGTGGTGGCCCCAAAGCGTTGGAATAGCTTGCCTTTATATCTTAAACTTTTACCTACATTGGGTTCTTTTAAAATAAATTTGATTTGATGTGCTCTATAAATAAAACAAACAAACAAACATTAGAACGGCTTGTGTGTAATTCTGATGCTGCAAATGTGTGAAAGTAAGCTATGCTCTGTGACAGTTGCTGATTCAGACACTTTTCTACACATAAAACAAATCTTTCTAAATTGGAAATCTGTTTTAGCTGATATCTGAGCTGCTGATATAGTTTATTATGGTGATACTCTGTGCCCGTCATAGCACCTCCCTTTCACCAGAGGTCGTATTCCTCAAACTGTGCTCTCATCTGAACTAAATTTCTTGTTTTCTAGTATTTATAGGCCAAAACTCTAGTTACACAGCATTTGCTGGCTAATAAATAACTTGGGTTAAACTTTATTTTAAGGTGTCCTTGTTACAGTGTGATACTAAGTGATATTAATTACCTACATGTAGCCTACTTACTAAGCTATATGATTAGGTTTTGCCTTAGGGTTACTTGCATGTAATTATGCATAATTAATTGTTATTGTAGTAGTAAGGATATGTAACGTGTAACAAGGACACCTTAAAATAAAGTGCTACCATAAATTGACACAAAATATTGATTGGAGTTCAAATTTTGCTTGCATTAGCCCAACCTTTCTTTAAAAGATAACACAAGACAAAGTGTACAAATATTTTTGGACAGAGGAGTGCATATATGAGACATATGAGACTGGCACAGCTGTATGGGAAGTTTGTTGACGTTTGTGTCCTTATAGAAAAAAATATTTGGCAACAGAATGGCACATTTGACCAGTGACACAACTGACCATCAGAATAAAGAGTCTAAAATCTTACATTACATTTCTGGTCATGTCTCTGAGGAAAGTTTTATACCAGTTGTCAAAATATCCTAAAAGATGTGTAAATGATTTCTAGTGGATTTTCAATCATAAATAATAGGAATTAAATCTAAAAGGATATATAAAAAAAGAGTATCTTCTAAGAATCTGCAAAGATCCTACTGGATAAACTGAAATTCAGGGAAAATTAAAGAGTCTAAAATCTTACATTACATTTCTGGTCATGTCTCTGAGCAAAGTTTTATACCAGTTGTCAAAATATCCTAAAAGATGTGTAAATGATTTCTAGTGGATTTTCAATCATAAATAATAGGAATTAAATCTAAAAGGATATATAAAAAAAGAGTATCTTCTAAGAATCTGCAAAGATCCTACTGGATAAACTGAAATTCAGGGAAAATAATTCTACACTCAAAAATGCTGGGTTAAATACAACCCAATTGCTGGGCTTGTCCCTATTTTACCCAGCACTGGGTTATATTTAACCCAGCATTTTTTAGAGTGTAATGACTTCACTCTAAAAAATGCTGGGTTGTTTCAACCCAACTTTTGGGTTAAAAATGGAATTTAAAAATTGAACCCAATAGTTGGGTTAGTCCATATTTGACCCAAATTTAGGTTGAAACAACCCAGCATTTTTTAGAGTGAAGTCATTACACTCTAAAAAATGCTGGGTTGTTTCAACCTAAATTTGGGTCAAATATGGACTAACCCAACTATTGGGTTCAATTTTTAAATTCCATTTTTAACCCAAAAGTTGGGTTGAAACACCCCAGCATTTTTTAGAGTGAAGTCATTACACTCTAAAAAATGCTGGGTTGTTTCAACCCAACTTTTGGGTTAAAAATGGAATTTAAAAATTGAACCCAATAGTTGGGTTAGTCCGTTTTGACCCAGCGGTTGGGTTAAATGTTTAACTCAACCTTCTGGGTAGTAACCCAACCGCTGGGTCAAAACAACCCAATTGCTGGGCTTGTCCCTATTTTACCCAGCACTGGGTTATATTTAACCCAGCATTTTTTAGAGTGTAATGACTTCACTCTAAAAAATGCTGGGTTGTTTCAACCCAACTTTTGGGTTAAAAATGGAATTTAAAAATTGAACCCAATAGTTGGGTTAGTCCATATTTGACCCAAATTTAGGTTGAAACAACCCAGCATTTTTTTTTTGAGTGTTTTATGACAGAAATTCCATTAGCAATTCTGTAAACATCTTAAATCATTTTAAAAAGCTAATCTAAAATATATTCCAATCCGAAAATAGTGTTTATTATCTTCTGTTATTAAAGGAAAGCCCCCTTCAGCATTGGGAGGATGTGAATCCCTGCAGTGGAAAGATGTGGACGGATCCAGAAGATCAGAGTGTTTGGTGACAAGATCAGATCTCAAATAAGCTTGATCACCATCTCATAAGCAGACACTGCTGAGTATTGTTGAGCTCTGTGTGTATAGGACTCCATCAGGATAACTGAGGTCTCTCCATCAGTATGTGCACACACTCAGGGCTTTTTCTCCCTGACGACGGCTCTTGAGCATGTTGAGCCCTGCGCTGGTGGCTCTCTGGTTGGCTGGCACGGCTTGCAGTGAGGCTGGTGTTGAGCCAGGCTCCTGGCAGACTGTCTCTGTGTGTTTACATCCTCCTCATTTGGTCTCCTTTTCATCCTGTCTCTTCTCATATATACACTTCCTTATTCTATTCTTATCCAGAGGGCAAGGTTCAGAATTCAGTACATGCCTACTACACATACTGCTATGCTACTGCTTTTGATTTGACTGAGTACGTATATTAAATAGTATGCAGTGTACAATAAAACTTTAATAGCAAAATTACTGTTAATAATAAAAGTGATCATACTAAAGCATGGTGTGATGTTAGTGATTTAGCTTTTTTGAATCCAATTTTGTGTAGTATTTCTCCTTTTTCCAAATGAGTCAAACAACGTTATGTTTGATGTTACTTCCCGTTCATTCATCACACTTGGTACAACTGAATGCACTGCATTGTAGGATACAGTGAAGTGAAGATTTGCATACTGCACACAGTACATTTAAACCATTTTTAGAAACATGTTTTGATGTTAGCAGAACAACTCAAGTAATGCCAGTGGCAATATCTCGTTCACTGCTGCCACCTGCAGTTCACACACTCTACAGTTAAAGCGAAAGGCTTTGGAACCAGAAAGGATGAGCAATATGAACAATATTGTGCCTCAGATTACCCCAGAGGATTGTGTTATCAAATTGAATTTGATAGCCCACTTTAGACATTCAAGTAGCCTAACTTTGCAGCTGCATGTCATATGGCTCATACGGTTTGATAGGAGAATATGGTGGTCATAGGTGGAAAAACACCTCAGTTTCATTCAGAGGCCCAAACTGAGCAAAAAATATGCAGCTAGTGGAGTTGCTGATATTTATATGGCCAAATGTTTGATGAAATCCTCATGGCTTGTAAACCAGTGAGGTCCTTATTATGACAGACTACTTACATAAAATGCGGATAAATATAATTTGTCACTCAATATCTCCCAATATTATGTCTTAGTACGATGATATTTAAATGCTTATTGTATGATCGAATCTCTCTACAGTGTTTATTGTGGGGGGGCAAAACATATAATGCAATGCAATATATTGATGATTGAGAAAGGAACAAATAAACACTCCTCAAAAACCTGATATATCATATTTTGTACTTACATTTAACATGATTTTTTTTTAGGAGTGTAAGAGCAGGCTTTATAGGGTTAAAGAAGCACCTTTGGATTATAAGCAGGTACATCGTATTTGTATAATGGTTAACCACTGCATAAATGTTTAGGGCTTAAATTACATTACTGTAATATTATATAGAGTGTCATGTCATGAACCCACAAGCATTTAGACACTGAAACCACACTTAAAAAAATGATCAAAGACACTAAATGTGGTATTGTGGACATGTGTAAAGATGTGGAAAATTCAGCTTTGCATTACAGAAATTAATTACATTTTAAAATATCTTACAATTGAATAGAGATATTATAAATTGTAATAATATGTCACAATATTGCAGTTTTTACTGTATTTTTGACCTTTGACAAAAACATTCAAACATCTTACAGACCCAAATTCTGTAATGGCAGTGTGATTCTTTACACCAGTGGTTTTACTGTGTGAACTTTGCTATAGTTGAAATAGCATGATACAAATATTATAGCATGCTTTTCCAAATGAAGCAAACTTGACACCTGCTGATTAAAAGTCACTGAGCAAAAATGATTAAGAAAAGTGAAGTTAGTTCTGAGAAAAGCTCCTGCACTATTTGAGCACAGATACAGACACTCGCTTTGATATTTAGTAATGCAATGATATTCAGGTATTTTAAGTGTCCAAATATTTTCTGTGCCCTTATTTGCACCACATTTCTCCTTTTCAGTCATAAACCTATCCCCGATTTCCTTTCACAGAAACATTGTTTTGTTTAATTCACACGTTTTGTGGCCCACACTGAGAATATGTGAATCAATGATGACTCCAGTAGTACTAAATCCACAGATTCAGAATATATGTGCTCTAAAATGTTCACAGAGGACCGATTTGAAGAACAAGCTCAGTGTGAGCAGCAGGCGAGACCAGCGTCAGATCTATTTTCTCCAAATGATTCCTTTAGTTCCTGTTTCTGTTAACGTTCTCAGTAGTTGGAGTTCATAAGAGCCCTGGCCTGGCTAATCTCACTCTTTCACAGACACTGTGTGAGGAAACGCATGTGGTCACAATCGTTTGCATGCTGCGATCAACAGCTCGTTCTGTTGCATGAACAGCTCTTAATTCGCAGCACACTGCAGACTCTGATTGGTCTGTGGAGTCACAGAGAGGAAGTGCAGCGCAACTTTCTCCAAAACCTTGGCTCTGGTGGCTCCAAATGCTCTGACAGAGGTGAGTCTTTCTTTAAGTGTAGAAATGAAGGAGTAAAGCTTGTGAGGGAGAGAGCGATGCAGTGTCCAGGCTAGGGAGCATCCCTTGCTGGATGAAAGTTGGTGTTATTTTTCAAGCTGCTGCTTTTCTAACAGTGCTCAACCACAGAGGAAACTCAACAGAGGAAATGTAGCTCACTCTCTCGGTTTTCACACAGCTTCTGAACAAAAAAATAACTGTTTACTTGCTGTGTTAGATTGCTTTTCAGATCATAAAAAATGCATTTACAATGCAAATTATGTGCATCTTTGGATGTAATGTGTGTAATAACTGTTCTTCTTTGAGCTCGCAAAAATGGAGAACAGGATACACATGAATTTCAATGCAAATATGTAAAATAAAAGTAAAATAGTGTCTCTATGAATTAAGCAAAAATGTAATTATAATGTAGCACACTTGTCTACACTAACTAAACTCTAAAATTTTTATGTCACACACACACACACACACACACACATATATATATACATACACATGAAGCAAGGATGCACTAAATCTGGTTCAAAGTGACAGTAAAGATTTCTACATTTTTACAAAAAAAAAAATCTATTTCAATGTTGTTCTTTTGAACTTTCTATTTATTAAAGCATCTTGAAAAAAAGTATCATGGTTTCCACAAAAATATTAAGCAGTGTATTTGTTTTAAAATTTTTAAATACTAAAACATGTATTTATTTATTGCAGAAATGTCTTTTTGACACAAAATTTGACTAAGTTATAAAAAATGTAAAATTATCAATCTACTTAAATTAATGCAGTATATTAGTTTATAAGCATTCATGTTCACAAGATTATCATACATTTTTAAAACAATCTTTTAAAACATGTATAATATTATCAAATCTTACCTAAAATCTTTAAAAGTTTTAGAATTGTCTTCACTGAGAGTCGGAGTGTTTTCCTGATGTTTGGAAATTTTCTCTCATATTGCCTTTTAAACTGGTCACTGAAAACTAGGGCTGCCCTCGACTAAGGATTTTTCTGGTCGACTAGTAGTCGTTCATTTGAAGCACTAGTCAACTAATCGCACGTTTATTAATAAACCATTTAAATCATTATAATGAGCCTTTAATTGCCTACATAGCCTATAAGCGCTCAAGCACACGCATAAAGCTTGCCACAGCGCACCGCAGAAGCTAATGGTTATGAATGTGTCATATTTTTAATGTCTGTGAGGCAGCCATGTAAAGTTGCTAATACTTACATATTTCAGATGATAAGCCATATTTGAGAGGTCAGTGAATGATAGGCGAGCGTTTGGATGTCCTGCCCGATGTACTGTATTACCACAAAGACCGGCCGTTAACGATCTGTCCATCACGGACTGCGTGACTTCGCCTGTGGAATTTTTTTTTTTCTGCGACTAAGCGACTAAAAAAAATTTTGGTCGACTATCAGGGGGCAGCCTACTGAAAACTGCTGTCTTCATTCCCAGAGGATGGCAGTCCACTTTTACTCTTTGGTTCTCCGTGAGCATCGGTCCAAACTCAAGACAGCTGAGAGAAAATGGCGCAAATTAAAAGACCCGTCAGACTTGATTATGTATCAGTCTTTGCTTTCATCTTTCTCTGCTGAAGTACACACTGCTATATCTTCATACTATCTTCATCCACAACAAGATCAACAGCGCTCCAGACACACGTAATCTCTTCAAAACATTCAATTCTCTCCTCTGTCCCCCTCCACCACCTCCCACCACTTCAATAACTGATCATTTCGCCACATTCTTCACAGACAAAACTAGAACAATCAGCAGTCAATTCTCAGCCCCACACATACAAGACCTCCAACCAACCACATCCACTACTAAAACTCCCATCTTCTCCTTCTGTCCCCTCACTGAGGCAGAAGTATCCAAACTTCTCCTCTCCAGCCATTCTAGACCCAATCCCCTCACACCTTCTCAAAGCAATCTCTCCTACACTCTTACCAGCACTCACACATATCATCAACACATCTCTCCTCACAGGCACCTTCCCCACTGCATTCAAGCAGGCTTGTGTAACCCCACTGTTAAAAAACCCTACAATAAATACTTCACTTACAGACAGCTACAGACCTGTCTCTCTCCTTCCATTCATAGTGAAAACCCTTGAACGAGTTGTTTTCAACCAGGTATCATTGTTTCTTTCACAGAACAACAAACTGGATGCTAACCAGTCAGGTTTCAGGAGTGGCCATTCGACTGAGACTGTGCTACTCTCAGTCACTGAAGCCTTGCGGATTGCTATTCTAAATCATCAGTTCTTATTCTGCTAGATCTATCTGCTGCTTTTGACACTGTCAATCATCAGATCCTCCTGTCTGCCCTCTCTTCACTGGGCATCACAGGGATTCCACTTCGCTGGTTTGAATCCTATCTCACTGGTAGGTCTTTCAAGGTGGCTTGGGGTGGGGAGGTATTCAAAGCACACCAACTGGTCACTGGTGTTCCTCAGGGATCAGTTCTTGGACCCCTCCTCTTCTCCATATACACTATATCACTGGGTCCCATCTTACAGGCACATGGCTTCTCCTACCACTACTATGCTGATGACACACAGCTCTATCTCTCATTTCAACCAGATGATCCAACGGTATCATCTAGAGGACATCTCGGCATGGCTGAAAGAACATCACCTACAGCTCAACCTGGCAAAGACTGAGCTTCTTGTCTTCCCTGCCACTCCAACTCTACAGTATGATTTTTCCATCCAGCTAGGTTCTTCTACAATTACCCCATCAACTTCGGTCAGAAATCTCGGTGTAATCTTTGATGACCAGCTGACCTTCAAAGACCACATTGCAAAGACTGCTCGATCTTGTAGGTTTGCATTGCACAACATCAGAAAGATCAGGCCCTTCCTAACGGAGCATACTGCACAACTTCTTGTCCAGGCCCTTGTCATCTCTAGGCTGGACCACTGCAATGCTCTTCTGGCTGGACTTCCATCAAGCACAATCAAACCTCTACAAATGATTCAGAATGCAGAGGCACGACTGGTCTTCAACGAGCCCAAAAGATCCCATGTTACACCTCTCTTTATCTCCTTGCCCTGGCTACCGGTTGTGGCTCGCATCAAGTTCAAGACATTGATGCTTGCATATAGAACAGCCACAGGCTCAGCACCCGCTTACCTCAACTCACTATTACGAATCTACATCCCCTCCAGAAGTCTGAGATCCGCTAGTGAGCAACGCCTCGTGGTACCATCACAGAGAGGCACAAAATCACTTTCCAGAACATTCTTGTTCACTGTTCCTGGCTGGTGGAACGATCTTCCCACCCCAATCCGGAATGCTGATTCCCTGACAATCTTCAAGCGACAGCTGAAAACTCACCTCTTTCAACAATATTTGATTTCATCTTGAAAAAAAAACTTTATTTATTCCTTCCCTTTCTAGCTTGTACCTGTTTGGAACAATGCCTGAAACTTTGTATTATGAGCACTTCCTGTTATATTCTTGTTTGCCTCTTTAAGATGAATCACTTTATGCATTCCCCAATTGTAAGTCGCTTTGGATAAAATCGTCTGCAAAATGACTAAATGTAAATGTAAAACTGTAAAGAGCATCAGACTGAAGTTACAGCAAAGTGAGCATTTTGTTCTCAAAAATGACTTTTCTATATATGTGCACCAGTTAGAATAACAAGTATTGTAGTTCTGCACGTAGGCCACTTTGACTTCCCAGGGGGTTTCATTGACCATCTAATGGATTGTACATGGACCATCTGAATGGCATTGTATAATCTGCAGTGATATTGCAAATGAAGCAGTATGTCTGTGTTTTGTCCATCCTTCTAGCTGGAGAGAGAGATGTGAAGCGTGTTTAATGGTGAGCTGCTCTCTGTACAGCACAGCCGTGTTTATTTCTGCTAGTGTCAGGAAGTCATTGGCTTCAGTGCGATCACTTGAGAAGCAGATAAGACCTTTTAACTATTTAGCAACTGTCTTACACTATTTAAGTGTGAAATAGGTCACGTTTTGGTGCATTCCACAAGCTGTCATTTTGGCAGACTGCCTTCAATATAAGCTGTTTTTAGTCTAACGAGGAAGGTTTAAGTTCTGAAACTTACAGGATGTTTGTTTTATAGCACAATGATCTCTTTTATATCAAGGGAAGCTTGATTTGTTAGGTCATGACACCTTTAAAGTGCACTGACTAGTTGCCTGAGTGTTGATTGACAGGCTGTTCTGGGTGGATGTTAGGGTGTTGGTAGTGTTAAATACCAGCGGTGGTTTTGGTTTGTTGTGTGGTTCTTGTGTATGTCAGTGGCAGTTCTGCTGTTAAAAGAAAATAAGTGGAACTGTGCCAGTATCTGTTTAAATCCACTTTAAATTTAAGAGACACGAGCAGCACTGCATGCCATGATTTTACTGCCTATGTAAAATATCCACAGTGATGCACATGAGTAATCAGGTCACAGCTGTCACCTGTTCACTTATGAATAGCCCTTATTATGAAAGTCTTTCTGCCGCTGGTGGTCTACACCAGTGGTTCCCAACCCTGGTCCTGGAGGCACCCCAACACTGCACATTTAGCTTGTCTCCTTTCTCTGACACACCAGTTTCAGGTCTTGGAGTCTCTACTAATGAGCTGATGACCTGAATCAGGTGTGTTTGATTAAGGAGACATGCAAAACATGCAGTGTTGGGGTGCCTCCAGGACCAGGGTTGGGAACAACTGGTCTACACAAAATCAACTGCAAGTTTTATTTTATCTTTCCTAAAAATACATTCTGGGTTCAAACTGAGCATGCTGCGCAATATTCATGTGCTAATTTTTTGTTGCAAATAATAAACTTTTTGAAATTGTATTTATGTATTTAACTTTACTTGTGTCACCCTAAGATAGTGAACACCTGCTGTTTTGTTACTTTCATATGGTTGCATTAAACTACAGAAGGGTACGTTTGAAGTATGTGTGTGAATATGTGCATGTCATGTGATTTCATGTCTGTTTCTTTGGAAATTGGAACAAAAACTATTGAAGATGAGGTATGTGTCTTCAGAAGATGTGCTAACGTGACTCTCTTCCTCCGCTCCATCCTTGTTGATTGGTTGTTACTAATGTATTCTTTATCTGTGTGCTCTCAGTCGTTTAGGCTAGAAAGAAAGAAGAGGAAATATGTCTGGCCCGCCACCACCGCCTCCTCCTGGCCCTCCTCCAACCTTTGCACTGGTATGACAGCATTGTTCACATCTACATATTTTGATCATTAGCTTAACTTAGTACTTAAATGTATCAAATATTTATACTGAATCTAATACAGTTATTTTGATACTGATTATGTTATTAGTTCATTTGTATGAGCTACAATAGTATCTTACATAAAACAAATGTTCTGGTGAATCTACAGGATGTTCATTTGTTTTCAGGAAACAGTCCCAATTGTGCCTGAAAATGAAAGGTTTTTATATCATTTCATTTGACAAGGCTACTGTTAAAGATACTGTATTTTGCCACCTAAAATTACTCTCTTTGAGTCTTTATTGATGTTGTCCGAATAACTAATAACTAGAAAATAGCTGAGTACACTTTTTATGCCAAGAAACCAAGTAACCAAAATCAAATACCAACTTTATTATGCAAGTTGAAATTCTGGTCATACTTTTTTTCTCTAAGCACATTTGACCAATTCCAAGCCACATCAATCTTAATAACTACTATTAATTTTGTATTTAATAATTTATAAGTGATATATAATTGTTAACAAGGGCAGGAAGTGAAAAATGCTTAGGTGTGCATAATTATTAGAAATGCCTAAATCTTATAAAAAAGAGAGATTTAAGTCAAATATTATGAAAAACCAATGAGAAATATTCAAAACTAATGCAATGCAGAAACTGCAAAAATAAATCATGACCACTGGACAGCAAAATGCGAAATGTAATTGGGACTACTATAGTAGTATAGTATAGCATAGCACAGCATATAGCATAACATAGCATAGCATAGTATAATATAGTAGTCCTATTGTTATTTCACACCAGAATATCAGCTTGCATAATAATTATGCACACACTGTATTTAAATCATGTGCTCACAAATGCATACATGTAGCATGTGTAATTGTGTAGCGTACACCATACTTCTGTTCAAAGTTCTTGGTATTCAAGGCTCAACAGCAATTTTGAGTTGATGGCAATGTGTGTGGTTTATGGAGCCTGTCTAATTTACAATGACTATCACTAGGCAAACACAGAGAAGCCAAATCTGAGCAGATCTGAGCATCAAGGAAGAAATGCTTTACTGTCAGATATCGGCAAAGGAGCTCGACTGAAGAAAGCCGTCACCAATGATCGGAGTTCCCCAGTGCTGGACAGTGAGTTCACCTTGTTTTCTGCAATATATTTTGTAACCTATTTTATGTGTGTGTGTGTGTGTGTGTGTGTGTGTGTGTGTGTCTGCATACATCCTTTATTTTTTAAAGAGTGTAGAGCCAAAGACATTTGTGACCTGTGCTGGCAAAATGAGTCACAATGACCACATTTTCAAAAATGAGTTATTTTTTATTTTACATTCATCGTTAAAAGACCTTAAAAATGGTGTAAGACTTGTTGGAATTGGACAAAAAAAATGACAGAGCTTCACCCGTTTGAAGTTGATAGAGTCTGCAAAGTCCATTTTGAGAAAAATCTAGTTAAATTTTCCTGAAGGTTCCGAAGCAAAATCACATCTTTTCCTCCAGTTCTTAATAATTACTATATTAGTCTAATAATAATAATAATATAGCTGTTTTTATTTTATCTTTGTTATTGTAAATAAGAACAGATGCAAAAAAAAACAAAAACAGAATGAATATAAGAAAGAAACAAATAATGCATTTGTAACGAGGGAGGCGTGATGACAAAGTGGGGATCCAATTGCAAGGCTTTAATAAGAGCGTAGTCAAACAGGCGTGGTCAACAACAGCAAACAATGATGGCAGTGGCAAGGCAAAAGAGTAATCCAGATAATCAGGCAATGGTCAGGGCAGGCAGCAAAACAATCATAAACCAGAAAATAGTCCAGGGATCAAAACACGAAGGCACGGAAACTTTAGAAACCATGGAAGAGCTACACAACATTCAATCACCAGCGATGAGAGAGTGTGTGTGTGCTATTCTTATAGTCCTACTAATGTGAGACAGCTGTGAACTGATGATGAGATCTGATGCGAGACAGGTGATGCACTTGATGAGTCCAGGCAAAGGATTATGGGAAATGGAGTCCTGAATGAATGGCAAGGTACAGAATGGAGTGTCCTCTAGAGGAGCTCATGGGCACTCCAGCTGGAGATCATGAAAGCATTACCTTTTTATTTCACATCTAAACAAAAGCATTCAAGTAAGAAAAACAAATAATCAAATGTAAAAATCCCTTAGTGTGTTCAATACAAATACATTGATTATTGTAACTACAAAAGCAGTTCAATCAAGAGCAGTGAGTGATTCCCTCTTTTCTTTTATTGTTAGATTAACATTAATGAACAGATCTAATATAATGTTACACATCAGATGTTTTTCCCCAACAGTTCCCCAAAAGTTCACTTAAGACTTGTATGTTTGCGTGAATACTTAAATACTGTAATTTCTAAAAAAAACAACAAAAAAAAAAGCAAAAATCTATTTATCGGGATTGTGCGCTGTCGGAAGCATCTTTATGCGCGCTCTTTGGATGACAGTCAGTGCGAGAAGCGAGCGGAGAAAAGGTACTCATCTCAGAAAATGTACACATAAAGATAATTTTAGATGTTTAATTACTATTTGGAGCATTGGGATTACTAGACAAGGGCTTAATGAACTCATCTTTGTGAAAACCTCAAAGTTGACTAAAATAAAAAAAAAATTCTCTTTTTTGCGTGTAGCTCAAAATTAGCCCGTGCGCATTCCGACTCATTTTGCCAGCACAGGTCACATTTGAAGAATTCATTTTTGTGATCATAATATGTAACGATAATATTTTCATTTAATGCAGAGCCCAAAGGAGGCGGAGGAGGTGGAGGCGGAGGAGGCGGAGGAGGTGGAGGTGGAGGGTTTGGGGGCGGAGCTCCAGGTGGACTAGGTGGGCTGTTTCAGGGTGGAATGCCAAGACTGAGATCATCAGGAAACAGAGACAATACTGGTAATCATCTCAAATTAATCATATTCAGGCTGATTTAATATTGCACAAGCCTTACTCAAAAGTGGTGAAAATAAAACTAAGTAACTAATTAACTAACTAACTAAATAAATAAATATTAAATAAGATAAATATTACAACTACAACTACCACTACTACTACTACAGCTGCTGCTAATAATTCTAATAATGCTGTTTATAATTTAATCGTATTATTTTTGCATTTTGACAAAAATTGAAATCAAACAATAATAAAAACTTGCAAACTTACAAAATACTTACATACTATTCTATACTTATTTCTTTAACAATAATTATAACTGTATTTATAATTAAATCATGTGTGCAATGGGGTAAAAAACTAACATCAAAATGTTTACATAATACATACTATACTGTACTATACTATACTATACTATACTATGCTCTGCTATGCTATGCTATGCTATACAGTATAATGCAATAATAATTCTAATCTTATTTATAATTTAATCCTACTATACGATACTCTACTACACTTATATAATGTAATAATTATAATTTAATTTTTCAATCTTTTTTTGCATTGTGACAAAAATTGAAATCAAAATGTTTACTATACTATACTACAATTTTATGCATTGAGAAAAAATTTTATATCAAAATGTTACTATACTATACTATACTATACTTTTAATGACAATTCTAATCCTATTTATTATTTAAATGAAATAAAAATGAGACTATACTATATACTGCACTATACTGTATTATACTATATACTAATATAATATACATATATAGTAATCCTAATCATAATCGAATCATTATATTGTTTGAATTGTGACAAAAACTGAAATGTGCTATACTTAGAACTTTTCTTCATGTTCTTTGTTTTATGATGACACTAAAGCAGTAAGACCACCGATGCCTCCTGCAACGGGGAGATTCCCAGCACCCAGCAGCCCAGCAGGAAGCAGACCCCCGCTCCCAACCGCCGGACGACCTTCTCCTGGGAGAGCCGGACCCCTACCGCCCTCGTTTCGCTCACCCCAGCACAGCTCTCCCAGCGGCCCACCACCTCTACCTGGAGGCCGACCATCAAGTTCCTCATCTTCTGTTCCACCCCCCAGCCAGCCGGGCAGACGTCCAAGCCTTCCTCCACCACCGAGAGAGTCCCAGTCTTCCTTCCCTCCACCCCCAATGCCAGCAAGTGTCCGGCCGCCTTTACCCACAATCCCAAGCAGGCCCTCAGATGACTTCCCTCCCCCTCCACCACCCACTGGAGGAAGAAGAGCGTCATTTTCTCGAGATGGACCACTACCACCACCGCCGCCTGCAACTGAGAGTAAACCATTGAGTTCTCAGAGGCCTATGGGTAATCCACCTCCATCCTTACCTCCAGCAAGAGGAGGGGCCCCACCCATCCCACCATCCCCACGGGACGACCCCTACACAAGAGGCCCTCCTAGAAACAGCCTTCCTCCTCCACCACCTCCTGGACGCTCCAGCCCACTGCCGCCACCACCCAACGAGAGGCCGTCTCCATCGGGAAGAAGACCATCCATACGGTCAGGTAAGAGCAAGGTCATTTCTCTTTTGCTGTTTATTTTTTACTGTCACAATATTAAGTTCATTTTTTTTCCAGTCAAATTTATTTATTAAATGTATTATTATTATTTTTTTACAAATAATTTTTTTTTTATAAAGCAGCTTTACAGAAAATGTTGTTAATGTGCAAAAATATGCAATATAAACAATCAAGTAGTTGAGACTTGCTATATAGTATACTATGTATACTTTATATCCAACTCTATATAAAGAGCAGTGCAATAATATATTTGACTTTTTGCAACATTATTTGAAATTCAACTAGTATGACTAACTAATATGATGTTAAACTTTAAATATTTGATGTTAATATTGTATTTATAAAACATGCATTGCTATTCAGAAGTTTGAGGTTGTTAGGATTTATTTATTTTTTTTAAGTTGCTCATGCTCATCAAGGGTGCAGTCTTCAGTTGCTTCATATTTTTGTGGAAACCATTATACCTTTTTTCAGGATTCAGAATAGAAAGTTCAAAAGAACAGCATTTATAGAAATCCTAAACATTATGCATATCTTTACTGTTGCTTTTTATCAATTTAATGTATCCTTACTGTATAAGATTGTTATTTTCTTTAAAAAAAATGTAATGACCCCAAAGTAGATATTAGTGGTAGTATGAATTGCATATGCTTTTAAAGTGTTAAAGTGTTAACATTTTCAGATAATTAAAATGCACACTTGAAAATACCTTCAGGCACACAGTTCAGATGACTGTTATGAGGTATATGAATGAGAGGATTTGTTTTATTTTGTGGACTCATCATTTTATGACTGCTCCTTCCTTCAGGTCCTCTACCACCTCCACCCACTGGAGGAGGAGGCAGAGGAGTGTCTCCCCCCGTGCCCCCTCCTAATCGCCTCGGTGGATCAGGCAGACCCCCTCTACCCTCAGACCCTCCCAGAGTGCCCAGCTTCCCTCCACCACCCCCTGACACCATCAATGGCTACCAGTGCCCTCCACCATCTGCCACAGGTAGGACGGCCACAGGAACCGTACACCTGCTGATGAGAGAGAGGCAACTTATAGGTCAACAATAAAAAAGGCAGTGAGTTTAAAGCTGAAGAGTGGCATTTCTGCATCACTACCAGAGCTGCAAATAAAGTAGCTTTTCTGGGATAGCAGAAAGTATTTGAAAAGAAAATGAAAATATACTATTGGGCAGTTTAACAAGTTTTAGCTTAAAGGAATAATTCGCCCAAAAATGACAATTCTGTCATCATTTACCCACTCTCAAGTTGTTCCAAGCTTGTGTGACTTTCTTTTTTCTGTGAAATGTAAAAAACAAAAAAAGGTGATCATTTCAAAGATGTTGCTAATCGAACAGTTTTGGTTCCCTTTGAAATTCATTGTATGGACAACAAATACAATGGAAGTCAATGGGCACTGAAACGGTTTGATTACCAGCAGAACATCTTCTTCTGTATTGCGCAGAAGAAAGAAAGTCAGGGTTGCAATGATGTGAGGTTGAGTAAATGATGACAGAATTGCCATAATGTCTGGACAGACACAGCATGATGTCGATATAAATATTGACTCAATATGGTAATGAAACTGCTAATTTCTTTAACAATAATTATAACTGTATTTATAATTAAATCATGTGTGCAATGGGGTAAAAAACTAACATCAAAATGTTTACATAATACATACTATACTGTACTATACTATACTATACTATACTATGCTCTGCTATGCTATGCTATGCTATACAGTATAATGCAATAATAATTCTAATCTTATTTATAATTTAATCCTACTATACGATACTCTACTACACTTATATAATGTAATAATTATAATTTAATTTTTCAATCTTTTTTTGCATTGTGACAAAAATTGAAATCAAAATGTTTACTATACTATACTACAATTTTATGCATTGAGAAAAAATTTTATATCAAAATGTTACTATACTATACTATACTATACTTTTAATGACAATTCTAATCCTATTTATTATTTAAATGAAATAAAAATGAGACTATACTATATACTGCACTATACTGTATTATACTATATACTAATATAATATACATATATAGTAATCCTAATCATAATCGAATCATTATATTGTTTGAATTGTGACAAAAACTGAAATGTGCTATACTTAGAACTTTTCTTCATGTTCTTTGTTTTATGATGACACTAAAGCAGTAAGACCACCGATGCCTCCTGCAACGGGGAGATTCCCAGCACCCAGCAGCCCAGCAGGAAGCAGACCCCCGCTCCCAACCGCCGGACGACCTTCTCCTGGGAGAGCCGGACCCCTACCGCCCTCGTTTCGCTCACCCCAGCACAGCTCTCCCAGCGGCCCACCACCTCTACCTGGAGGCCGACCATCAAGTTCCTCATCTTCTGTTCCACCCCCCAGCCAGCCGGGCAGACGTCCAAGCCTTCCTCCACCACCGAGAGAGTCCCAGTCTTCCTTCCCTCCACCCCCAATGCCAGCAAGTGTCCGGCCGCCTTTACCCACAATCCCAAGCAGGCCCTCAGATGACTTCCCTCCCCCTCCACCACCCACTGGAGGAAGAAGAGCGTCATTTTCTCGAGATGGACCACTACCACCACCGCCGCCTGCAACTGAGAGTAAACCATTGAGTTCTCAGAGGCCTATGGGTAATCCACCTCCATCCTTACCTCCAGCAAGAGGAGGGGCCCCACCCATCCCACCATCCCCACGGGACGACCCCTACACAAGAGGCCCTCCTAGAAACAGCCTTCCTCCTCCACCACCTCCTGGACGCTCCAGCCCACTGCCGCCACCACCCAACGAGAGGCCGTCTCCATCGGGAAGAAGACCATCCATACGGTCAGGTAAGAGCAAGGTCATTTCTCTTTTGCTGTTTATTTTTTACTGTCACAATATTAAGTTCATTTTTTTTCCAGTCAAATTTATTTATTAAATGTATTATTATTATTTTTTTACATATAATTTTTTTTTTATAAAGCAGCTTTACAGAAAATGTTGTTAATGTGCAAAAATATGCAATATAAACAATCAAGTAGTTGAGACTTGCTATATAGTATACTATGTATACTTTATATCCAACTCTATATAAAGAGCAGTGCAATAATATATTTGACTTTTTGCAACATTATTTGAAATTCAACTAGTATGACTAACTAATATGATGTTAAACTTTAAATATTTGATGTTAATATTGTATTTATAAAACATGCATTGCTATTCAGAAGTTTGAGGTTGTTAGGATTTATTTATTTTTTTTAAGTTGCTCATGCTCATCAAGGGTGCAGTCTTCAGTTGCTTCATATTTTTGTGGAAACCATTATACCTTTTTTCAGGATTCAGAATAGAAAGTTCAAAAGAACAGCATTTATAGAAATCCTAAACATTATGCATATCTTTACTGTTGCTTTTTATCAATTTAATGTATCCTTACTGTATAAGATTGTTATTTTCTTTAAAAAAAATGTAATGACCCCAAAGTAGATATTAGTGGTAGTATGAATTGCATATGCTTTTAAAGTGTTAAAGTGTTAACATTTTCAGATAATTAAAATGCACACTTGAAAATACCTTCAGGCACACAGTTCAGATGACTGTTATGAGGTATATGAATGAGAGGATTTGTTTTATTTTGTGGACTCATCATTTTATGACTGCTCCTTCCTTCAGGTCCTCTACCACCTCCACCCACTGGAGGAGGAGGCAGAGGAGTGTCTCCCCCCGTGCCTCCTCCTAATCGTCTCGGTGGATCAGGCAGACCCCCTCTACCCTCAGACCCTCCCAGAGTGCCCAGCTTCCCTCCACCACCCCCTGACACCATCAATGGCTACCAGTGCCCTCCACCATCTGCCACAGGTAGGACGGCCACAGGAACCGTACACCTGCTGATGAGAGAGAGGCAACTTATAGGTCAACAATAAAAAAGGCAGTGAGTTTAAAGCTGAAGAGTGGCATTTCTGCATCACTACCAGAGCTGCAAATAAAGTAGCTTTTCTGGGATAGCAGAAAGTATTTGAAAAGAAAATGAAAATATACTATTGGGCAGTTTAACAAGTTTTAGTTTAAAGGAATAATTCGCCCAAAAATGACAATTCTGTCATCATTTACCCACTCTCAAGTTGTTCCAAGCTTGTGTGACTTTCTTTTTTCTGTGAAATGTAAAAAAACAAAAAAAGGTGATCATTTCAAAGATGTTGCTAATCGAACAGTTTTGGTTCCCTTTGAAATTCATTGTATGGACAACAAATACAATGGAAGTCAATGGGCACTGAAACGGTTTGATTACCAGCAGAACATCTTCTTCTGTATTGCGCAGAAGAAAGAAAGTCAGGGTTGCAATGATGTGAGGTTGAGTAAATGATGACAGAATTGCCATAATGTCTGGACAGACACAGCATGATGTCGATATAAATATTGACTCAATATGGTAATGAAACTGCTATTGAAAAACTGAGTGCTAATATAATTGTTATTGATTGACTCTGTTTGGCTGCACATATTCTCTTGTATTCTTTTCCTATAGATGAGTGGGGGATGAGGTTTTCCTTCCGTCCTCTGTCTGAATTACCTCCACCAGAGCCGTACGTGTCCTTCTCCAAGTCTTACCCCAGCAAAGCTGGCGGCAAAGGTGAGCACTGCAGCATTTTGTAAGAGAATTGTAATAAGAATTGTTTAAAAGTTATGCTTCAGTGTGTGTTGTGCTGTCCACCCTCAATGCATTTTAGTTTTTTTTCTGCGTTTACATAAGACATGCAATATTTTAGTGTTTTAATGTTGTAATAATCCGTTTGATAATTTCATATCTATTTGCATCTGTTTTCCAGGAATGAGAGACAGAGGAGCGCCACCCTTGCCACCAATTCCCAGATGAAATGCTTTGACATTATAGTGTGAGCTGGATTTTCATCTGCTGAATGAGACTCAGGAACTCGTTTGTGAAAATATGAAGGTTTTTAGCTTCTCAGTGACATTTTTTTAAATCCCTTTTTCATGCATTTTAATCCAGATGTGTGTCCAGATATGGCGATTAAAGTGCAAAAGTGAAAGTTTGTTTTAATCATTTATAGCATCATGTTATTCTGCACATTTCCCTAATTGCAAAAATATTATATTTCAATTTATTAATGTCACAGATACATATATCATGCCACAGACACATGTAGGTATATCATTTATGATATATTAAAGATGTTATAATCAAGGAAGTGTAGCTTATACAGTTGTTGTGAACTTCTGCCAAACCAAGCCACTGACTTTCACCACACTGCCATCTCTTCACCCACACGTCTGTGTGTGACCTGGACAGTACTACTTTCTCAGTCTAGTAAAGATGCAATCTGATTGGCTGAAGGGGCACACATGTTTTATCAGGCCATTTGAAAAGCAAATACACTGAGCTTCTGAATTCAGCCCAGGACATTGTTTAGCAGCTTAAATGTATATTTTATGGTGAGTCTGCAGTCACTTGTTCCTACGCAAAAACTGCTCAGTGGCCCAAACAATGATGTTCGACCAATATATATATATATATTGTAATTGCAAATTGTACACAACAAGAACAACATCCAACAACATAAGGCACATCGACCATAAATAATATGAATAATCAATATAAATAATAATGTTACTCACGACAATAATAGCAACAATGAGGAGGGAAAAAACACACAAGGAGCAAGAATCAATAGAAGAAGTACATATAGACATCAAATAAAAATTAGTGCTGTCAAACGATTAATCACATACATAATAAACATACACAGTACACACACATATATTATGTATATATAAATACACACACATGCATGTATATATTTAAGAAAAATAGGTTATGTTTATATATATAATTATATGTATATAAAAAATATACTTGAAAATATTTTTCAAAATATTTACTGCATGTGTGTGTATTTATATAAGCATAATAAATATACACAGTACACACACACATATTATGTAAACAAAAACCTTTATTTTGGATGCGATTAATCGTTTGACTGCACTAATAAAAATACATTAAAATAATAAACATTTTGAGATGGAGCAACAAAGAGTTTCAGACTTTTCTATTTAGTTTTTTTTAAGTACTTGAAGCTCTACATTTTCACAAATGCAAACACAATATGGGCTATTAAAGGAGGGCGAACATTTTTCTCCACTTGCATGCATAAGTATGATATTTACCCAGCAAGAAAACAAAGACAACATCTGAAAAAACGAGAATTTAAATCACACATTAAAAAGAGGACATCTTGCAAAACAAGTGGGGGAATTGTCTCCATTTTTACTGATAGCCAGCGATTAACCTTTGGAGCAACTGGATATGTGAGATAAAAGATAGTACTGAGGCTTCAACATCTCCCAGAGAATAGCACTGGTAATCCACCGTGATAACACAGTTAAACTCTTTATAAATAAGCTTGTTATTACACTTACTATCGAAGAGAGCTACATTACATATTTTTGGGGATTATTCTTAACAAACCAGTATTGCATTGCATACTTTATCATAGCCTTTAATTGTAATTCTAACTCCGTATTTATTACTAAAATCATTATGAGATAAGAAATAGACATTTGCATCTTATAAATCATGAATACAAGTAACGCCTTTAATACACAATCACTTCTGAACAAAGACTTTCTGTTAATAACTACAGCCCTATTGTTCAAAAGAGTGGAGCTGTGAGGGGAAAAGACAAGTTATGGCTAAATATCATTTCCCTAGAAAGCTGCACTTGTTTATGAAAATGAAAAACCTTCAAAGGAACTCAAAAATAGATCAAGATTACATCTTAGCACAAATTCAAGGCCACCAATGGTTTTGAAAATATGATTAGGAATATGGTACCATACTGAGTGAGGCTTTGCTAAGCACTCTTCAAGCCATTCTACTCTGAATGCACCAAAACAAATTCTAAACAGCAGTACATTGTGAATCCTTCACGTAGAGAAATGCTGTCCTCTTTCGGTCATCACGAGAACGTGTCTTGCTCGTAAGCTGTCAAATGAATTAATGCACGAGTTGTTCAGTTTTTCAGAATGCATGCATTGTAATGTTGTAATGTTAATATTATTCCCCATATAATCGAGAGATTTCATAACTGTTTTTAATAAAAGGGTTGGAGCTCTCAAGTCTGTTTTGGGCTTATGCAAAGCACCATGTGAAAGGTCCCTGCGCATGCGCAGAGTCTTGGCTGCTTTCTATTGGCGAGCTGCAGCTCGTGTGTTCTGCTTCTCTGCAGCGGTGTGTGTGTGTGTGTGTGTGTGTACTGCTGTGATAACAGACACATGCTTCCAGCACTGAGAGAGCAGAGGCGAGCAGACCCGAGGCGGAAGAGCTGTCATGGAGCTGAGTTCATTGCTCAAAGTCATCTGGATGAGACAGCATGAGTGAAAGTGTGTGTTTCTGATTTACAGGAATCAGCTGATCCGGTGAGTCTGTCAGCAACTCACTACTGTACATCTAAAGTAGACTCTAGGTGTTGATCAGAGCATTTGACCATAATATCATTAGATAGTAAATATAGCAATCATGCAGTACCATGGCACTACCATCTGATGCCTTCACTGTATCATGCTACAGCGCTTTTTGAGTGCAGGGTCTGACTAAAAACATATGCCCATGTGTCTGTACTAATTTTACACAACGATTACAAAATTGGTCTAAAAAGGGGTTTTATTTAAAGGTGCAATGTGTAATATTTACAACGATCTATTGACAGAAATGCAATATAATATACATAACTATGTTTTCAGATGTGCGTAAAGACCTTACTTAATGAACCGTTATGTTTTTATTACCTTAGATTGAGCAGTTTCTGTCTACATGCACCGCGGGTCCCTTACATGGGAGCCGCCGCCATGTTTCTACAGTAGCCCTGAACGGACAAACTGCTCTACAGAGCGCGTTTCTTCACTTTGTTGACACAATGATGAACAAGCACATTAACATTCGCAATAACACCGATTTATTGAATTATTAAAGGGGTCATATGATGCTTTTTTAAAGATCATTATTTGGTTTTGAGACTTTAGTCTTTGCAACTTCAGGGATCTTATCTATGCACAATCAGCTTGTAACACTCCCAAGAGAAAGGAAAACTTGAAATCGCATCATATGACCCCTTTAAGGGGTGAGTGGGGGACTGAGCCGTTGGTTGCAATTTGCAACCTGACCACTAGATGCGCTAAAATTTACACACTGCACCTTTAATGAAAAATTAGCCTTATTAAACTATTATTAATAAGCTTTTTTTTTAATATACCATATTGACCCGAATATAAGACAACCCTGATTATAAGACGACCCCCCTTTTCCAGATGTACCTTTTGGAAAAAGGCTTTTTAAAAAGCAAATCTTGTTTTTTCTCAGTAAAACACATTTTGTCTTTATTTTCATATTGCATATTTTTCCTATTTAAATTTTTGTTTTGAAAGTATGGTAAAAACTGGTAAAATGTACCAACAATCACATTTAAAAAATATACACTTTTTGATATACCATTAAAAAAAATCTGAATTAGGACATTTATGCTATCCATCTAATAGTAGCCTACCAAAATCTTATTAACAGTAGAAGTTACATTTTACTGTAGTCTTCAAATCTGGGTACTGTCTTACGTTTTAAAATCACAAAGGGAGTTTGGTCCCTTCAGGCTAATGTGACAGTCACGATTCATGCAGCTGTAAGGTTTTCTTTTTCTTTTGTTTTTACTCGCAATCTTTACAACACGCATTACATTACGTATTTCATGGCACACTCGTTTTATGCGTATTTGGCGCCACCTATTGTTGTGTGTGTATTATTGACATGTCAAAGTCTAGACCCTGAATATAAGACGACCGCGTTTTGTCAGATGTATTTCCAAGAAAAAAACATCGTCTTATATTCGGGACAATACGGTATATATTCTTATTCTTTATAAACTCATTCTGGGGCTTGAAATGGAGGAATTTTCGCCAATACTGCTAATTAAACAATATTTTGCTGAATGTATTTTTGTGCTGGCACCTTGGCTGGTTTAGGTCTGTCATGGATAAATAAAGATGACAATAAAACCACCAGTAGGTGGAAGCAAGTCCCTGTTTTAAAGGGGTGGTTCATTGCAATTTAAATTTTTTTATGTTAGTTAGTGTGTAATGCTGCTGTTTGGGCATAAACAATATCTGCGAAGTTACGAAGCTGAAAGTTCAATGCAAATGGAGATAATGTCTTTTAAAATCCTGGCAGTTTAATGCCTACAAAAACGGCTGGTAGGGACTACACCGAGTTACTTCCCGGGTTCGTGACATCACAAACCCAGATAAACCCCGCCCCCGGGAACACGCAGCAAAGGGGGCGGGGCCATGCTGCGCTGCTTTAGAGAAGAGGAAGAGAAAACTAGGGGTGCACGTACAAATCTATTCGTATATGAATCACAATTCCGTCTTCTAATGATTCTAATGGATTCACAAGATTCAAAATCAATGTTCAAAAGCACCAGTTCTCAATACTGTTCCTCGCGTCCCCTGCTCGGCACACGCTCTGCATCTCTCTCTCTCTCTCATTCAGCTCAGCTCCAACAATTAACTGTTACAATCATACACTTATTTTCACACAGCAATGAGAAGCGTTAAACATGGACGCGAGTGCAGTTGCCATACTGTATTAAAGCTTTAGTCAGGATAAAACTATATTAAAAGCTAACATAAGCAGTAGCATTTACAAAAAACAGCGTATCTAAAAGTATGAGACAACAAACAAAAAACATAGGCCTACCATTAAAAGCCATGCTTGCACAGTTTCTGCACGATCCTCTTCAATAATATCCTCTGCTTCTCAATCGGGCTCAAACTGATAAGCGATATTAACGACGCCTTGTTTACAATACAACCCGGAGCACATGCCAGCGCAGCAAACAATTGCCTTGTCCAAATACCGACACTTGCGGTCTTTGCACTTGACCACTTGTCCTGTATTTGGCCCAAGTGTTCAAATGAGCATGAAGACCACAAGTGTGTGTCG